AGTAAAATCTAAACATAGGACCAATATGTAAAATTAAAAAAATTTAGGTACAGAAATCTCATAAAATTTAGATACCAAAACATAATCGTTCAATGATTTTATATTAAAATTAAATTTGGGGTATCAAAATATAAATTTAAAAATTGTAGGTATGAAAATCTCATAAAATTTAGTTACCAAAACATAATTGTTCAGTGATTTATATTAAAATTAAATTTGAGATATCAAAATAAAAAATTTACATTATAGTAACTAAGTTGTAATTTAATTAAATTTGGGGTATCAAAATATAAAATGTTAGGCAACAGTAACCTAACATCAACTTTGTATATATTTGAGGTATCAAAATGTAAAATTTACATTATAGTAACTAAGTTGTGATTTAATTAAATTTGGGGTATCAAAATATAAAATGTTAGGCAACAGTAACCTAACATCAACTTAAGCTAAAATTCTATTTTCTGAGTATAGATAACCAATTACATCAAATTCCTACATAACATAACTCGCCAAAATATATTTGGTTGAAGGTTCTTACAAGTACCATCATTAACAAGAGGGTAGTCTCATGTGAAAAAAAAAAAAAAACAAGGGTAGTCATTAAGAAAAGTGGATACAAAATATCTTCATTGCTTCAACTTTAAGCTCCCGGACTACTGATTAGTGTCATTATAAGTGGAGGAATGTGAAAAGACCTAGATATGGTCTGAATCCTGAACATATCATAGATAATCAATGAATAAAATCACATAGTTACCCACTACTTGGAAACAAGGCATATTTGTCCACTGTTTATCCATATAAGTCAAGAAAAATCACAACATCCAGAGGCATTTTTACTCAATGATAATCCGATGGTCCATGAACTAGGGTAGTCATCAATAAAATTTGATACAAAATATTTTCATTGCTGCAACTTAAGCTCCCGGACCACTAATTAGTGTCATTAGGAGTGGAGGAATATGGAGAAGCCTGGATATAGTCTAAATCCTGAACACAATGATCAAAATCACATAGTTAACCACTACTTAGTAACAAGGCATCTTTGCCCACTGTTTATCTTTATAGCCACCACCATAAATTAAACTAGACATGCGTTCTCATAAATGATGCATACTATTACTATGATGTACGAGGCAGATTTGTTCTCACATATGCATTCTCTTTCCGATTCATTCATTATGTAAATGAATTACTTGATCGAAAACCTTCACAACCCCTGTTTAGTCCCTTTTCTATTTGTTTTTATTTCTCTCCTTTCTGCACTCATAGGGTAATCCCCGATAGGTTAACATTTTTATCATAATAATAATAATTGTTATTATAATTATAATAATAAAGTTAATGGTTCTCTTTTTATGGATGTACATGCAAATTATATACATATTACTTTGTTTGATTTATGACATAATCCATTATCACATGTTAACTTTAAAACTCGGAAATATATGTCTAAAAAAGACATTATAGTTTGTAGTGATAACAACAGAAATAAATTTGAAATTTGTGTGCAAGTCAAGATGAAGGAAAATCATTTCCTAAGTTAATTGATAGAAATTCGAATTTATTATAATTTATTTTATGAATGAATTTATTAGAATTGGTACATTCTTATATTTGTGAATTTCATGGTCAATTAACTAGAGAGGGATGTAGGTACTTCATTACTTGCATTGACGATAGTACTCAATTTACCAATATCTATTTAATGCAAATGAAAGATGAAGCTTTTGATAAGTTTTAAGATGTATAGGTGTTTGTGCTCTCTTGCTCACGCTCTCTTTGCATGTATTAAAATATGAATAGTACAAGTAGTATTATGTTATACTTCGAATACATTTATGAAATTTTGACAGAATTATATTCTTTCTCAGAGTCATAGAAGTTAGGTACTTTTATATTATTGTTATATAATTTGTAAAAGTTATATTCAAAATTATCAGAATCTTAGAAGTTTAGGTATTTTCCATTCGGTTGTTCTGTAATTATATAACATTACTTTAAAGGCTGGAGATCTAGTCGTCCATTCTGGTCAGCACGCCATACTTTGGTTCATCGCTTTGTCATTCAAATTAATTATTTCATTCCTTCTAGTAAGTTAGAAACGAAGCAGCAGCTATAATTTCTATATATATGAGTAATACGTACATACGAAAACGACCGCGTCACGAGCTGCTAAGGGTACAATGTCAATGCAGGAGACAACTCAAGGGCATCAATGCTGCAGCCTCCTTTTGGCTTCTTCTATTACCTTAAGCCCTGCAAGCCCAGCATTCCCCAGCCCTAGTCATTCGCCGCCTTGCTTTAGAGTCAGGCAAAATAGACCGATCACAACCCTGACCGGAAGTTAAAATATGAACAAATTAATTTCTTTTCTTTGCATGCATAGTCTGTTATGATATTTAATTCATATGTATATGTTTTAACTCATCTATACATACCTCCACGAAACAATCGTGGAAAGCGAGCCTCAGCAAGCGCGCTGCATTCGACTTATCTGCTACGACCACGCTTGTTTTACCGTTTCTCTGAGGGTGGATTCAGCGAACGGGTTAGCTGCGGGAGTAGAATCCCAAATACAGCTGTTCGTTGGAGGCCTCCTCCATCATCATTGAAAGGAGGAGGCAGAAGATGATTAATGGGGCAGTTGTCATTGAAGCAGGGATGAAAGTTTATGTTTAGTCAATGGAGGGCGGATCAAAGGTGGAGCCAGGATTTAGGGTTCGGGGAGGTCATAGTTCTTACTCTATTAATGTAGAAAGACGTTAATTAATTAAAATAAAGATATTTTAATATTTTGATAACTATACTTTTTTAAAGATGATTAATATAACTTAAAATAAGATCTAAACTACAAATATATAGCATGATTGGTTTAATATAAATTAGAAAAAAAATTAATAAGACATTTCAATGTTGTATAACACGTTATATTTGTACACAAAATAAGATATGGATTAAAAATTTCTACCATGACATGCTAGATATAGATTAGGAAAAAACCTACAGTACATTTCAAACTTATGTAAGTCATCCTATTTCCAAAATTGGGAAATGAATATATACTTATAATAGTATTTGAAAAACTATTTATTCATTATCTACCTAAAAGTATTCTTAAAATTTTGTAAGTTGAAAAACGTATAAAAGGGACATTTTTAGTTTGAACCAAAGAAACAGACAAGATATTGTACATTTCAATATTATGTAACTCATTCTGTTTTCAGAATTGAAAATGAATATTTATTTATACTAGTATTTGAAAAACTATTTATTATTTATCTACTCAAAAGAATTGGTAAATTTTTGAAAATCTTAGTTGTATACGTCAATTCAAGTGAAAATCAATTTCATTTTTATTCAATTTCAAACTAAAGTAGTTAAAGTAAAAGAAAATAATTTAGTCCAAACTAAAACTAGAGAAACCAAAATGGATATAATCAAGTGTTGAACTCCTGACTACAAGATGTATACCGGCATGATTTATGATTCACATTAGCGTGTGTGTGTGTATATATATATATATTAATGGACCTCGCTCGTTATAACTTGCCCTTTTGCTCCAAGTTATCGCGTGTCCTCCCCTCGAGCTTACTCAAGTAGTTAATTAATGCAAGCGATTTGTGACAAACTGAATAATTAAACTTTACGAGTAATTATATTATATACTGGGATGTGATCTAGACCTTGGAAGCTGAGTTAACCCGTCAGTGGGAGGCGGAGGAGATATACTGGTAGCAGAAATCCAGGGTCCGATGGTTAAAGAAAGGAGATCAAAATTCTGCCTACTTTCATACGGTCACCCGCGCTTGTCGGAAACTGAATTTTGTTGCCGATCTCTGAAATGATGAAGGTGAATGGGTCATAGAGGAGAGTGGGAAGGCGAGTATTGCTACTGATTTTTACCAGAATCTATTTACCTCGGAATCCCAGGTTCCTAATATGACTGATGTAAATTCAATTTAGGCGGAAGATTAGGGTTCGAACAAAGGGAGAATGGAGAAGAGGAACACAGACACGATGACTCAGTAAGGAGAACAAAGCTGTCAAACAGACTTTGTTTACAGGCTTTCAGTTCCCGAGTGGGCTTAAGACCAAGTAGGCCCAAGTAACTAAGGCACAAACCTTAAGACAAGGAATCGAAGCTAGAAGCCCAAAGACAGTAGTCTTCTACTTTCTTAGCAGAAAGACAGAGCAATTCCAGCACAGGTTACACAATCAAAACAGAGCAGTAAAGTAAACAGGAGAAGGAGATTTGCAGAGCGAAGGGACACAGAGTTTTTTAATGTGGTTCACCCTGTGCAATGGTTACTTCCACATCCCAGAGATCAGCATTCGCTGTACTCCAGGAGATTTTATTTAGAGAGATAGAACAGATCCTAAGCAGCTGCTTAGACTTCAGCCGTGATTCTAACCGATAATCACAATTGCAGCCTTGTGGAATCAGAACCTATACCTCTGATTCTCACAATCCCTTTGATCCCTAGAAACCCTTCCCGTTCTAGTATTTCAGCCTTGTCAGAAAGTGCTTGTAAAACAATGGTATCGAGACCCTTAAATAGATCCCACAAGTATATGACCGTTGAGCTTTCCTTTCCTGTGAATGCTCTGATTTGCCACCAACCAGATTCAGTACCGTTGGAGATTACCAAACCAGTCATTCTTACCATAAGATCTCCAATTTCTTCCAACAATCTCCCTCTAAATTGGAGATTGCAAATGAGCTTGAACCTGCAGAAAAAGAGACAAGCACGAAACAAAGACGAACAAAAGAGACAAAACTTCTAAACAAAATCAACTGAACTGCAAACCAATATCCAAACAAATAACCAAACCATCCAAGACACAGAAAAACATCCAAACTAGCCAAGACAACCAAAGCATTCAAACATTCCAAACCCTCCCTCTCAATCTAGGACAGAGTAAGCAAGGACTCCCTCTAAACAGAGATAATCAATCAATGCCGTCAGAGTCAGAGTCTTCATCTGAGCTGTAGTCTACTAGTAGCCCAGCAACTGTAGCAAGTGGGGGAGTATCACTAGCTCCACTATCTTCATCTCCTTCACTGTCATCTCCATCACTGTCTTCAACTCCAATATCAGCATCTGCAGCCCATCCCCCCCAATTGCAATCTCACATTCATCAAGAACTTGATCCGTCAGCATGAGAAAAGAGGGATTTTCGGTGCGGAAAGAGGTAATAGTGACACCAAGACGGACAGCAAGTCTGGTGATAAGAGGTCCGAGAGGCAGGGGACCAGGATAGGAAGAGTCAGCATAGGTAATGAACACCCCAAAGATGAGAATGGAATAGTTGAGGGGAACATTCCACACAGCATGAGCCATGATCCACAAGTCCAGAGGAACAATACGATCCAGAGCCTGAGTTCTAGGTAGAAAGATCCGAGTGATGGCAAAATGCAGAACTCGCAGATGAGGAAGAACAAGATTGACTGGTAACGAAAGATCAGGACCAGGATGAAGACCAGTCAATTGAACGAACTCTTCAGCTATATTGAAGTTGAACAACCAGAGTTCGGATGAATGAGAAAGCGACTCTCCTACAGAGGGAAGATCAAGAATTTGGCCAAGATCTTCAACAGGAATAGTGACCTGATGGCCAAACATAACAGTAGTGAAGCTTCTAGAGTGAAGGCCAAAGGATCTGAGATTAGAATAGAAATAGCGAACCAACTCAGGACACACAAGGGATGGAGGATTTTGCAACAAAGAGCCCCATCCGAGATTGTGAATAAAGCCTCTGATATCAAGTCCATAATCCACAAATTCAGGAAGTAGGACTTGAACCGGTATGGCTATGTCACGATCTTGATAAGCAAGGGCATGACGATGCCGACTCTGAAGAACAGGCTCAGAGAAAAGAGAACCAGTGAAGGTATGAGCAAACACACGATCCATAGGGCTAGATAGGAGGGAAAGCAGAAAATGCAGAAACACAGACACCTAGAAGAAGCACGATTAAAAAGACTACTGGCAGAAGAACCCTAGACTATCAAGGAGACGAAAAGGAAACAAAATCAAATCACGCAAATTGGCAAGCAGAGAAAAGGAAGCAAGAATAAAACAACAAAAGGAAAGAAAAAAAAACAAAGACAGGAAAATTAATGCTGAAACAGATCCTTGAGATTCTCAAGAGGCCTCAGACCTAACTCGAAACAAAGGAAGACAAAACGATCAGTTGCTAGAGGCTTAGTGAACAAATCTGCAAGTTGGAATTCAGTGGAGATGTGCTTGAGAGAGATAATATCTTCTATAACTAATTCACGAATGAAATGGTACTTGATCTCTATATGTTTTGTTCGTGAATGCTGGACAGGATTCTTGGTCATGCTAATGGCGCTGGTATTGTCACAAAATAAAGGGATTGAGTTTATAGTCATACCATAGTCCTCAAGCTGATTCTTAAGCCAGAGAAGTTGAGTACAACAGCTTCCAGCTGCAATGTATTCTGCCTCGGCTGTAGAAAGAGCCACTGCTCCTTGTTTCTTGCAGGACCATGATATCAAAGATGTACCCAAAAATTGACAGGTTCCACTAGTGCTTTTCCTATCAGTTAGACTACCCGCAAAATCAGAATCACTATACCCCATCAGATTGAACTCATTCTCTCTAGGATACCAGATTCCTACATCTGCTGAACCTTTAAGATATCTAAAAATACGCTTAACAGCAGAGAGATGACTTTCCTTGGGGTTAGCTTGAAAACGAGCACACAGACAAACGCTGTGTTGGATGTCAGGTCTGCTAGCTGTTAGATACAGAAAGGATCCTATCATTCCTCTAAATTTTTTCTCATCTACTACCACTCCTTGTTCATCTTTATCTAACTTAACATTAACAGCCATAGGAGTAGGACTAGTATTAGCATGTTCCATCTGAAACTTTTGTAACATAGTATGAATATACTTAGTTTGGCTAATAAAGATACCATGCTCAGATTGTTTGACCTGAAGACCTAGAAAGTACTGTAACTCACCCATCATGCTCATCTCAAAGACATTTTTCATAGCATCACAGAATTCAGAACACATGGATGGGTTAGTGGAACCAAACACAATGTCATCCACATAAATTTGCACAACTAGCATGTCAGTCAGAGATCTTTTGATGAATAGGGTCTTACCAACAGACCCTTGACTAAAACCCTGCTCTTTGAGAAAACTAGTCAATCTATCATACCAAGCCCTAGGGGCTTGCTTAAGACCATAAAGAGCTTTGTTTAATCTATAAACATGATCAGGGAATTGGTAATCAGCAAATCCGGGAGGTTGAGCAACATATACTTCCTCTTGGATTATGCCATTTAAAAAAGCACTTTTCACATCCATCTGGTATAGAGGGAATTTCATATGGCTAGCAAACGCACATAAGAGACGTATTGATTCAATACGTGCTACAGGAGCAAAAGTCTCTTCGTAATCTATCCCCTCTTCTTGGCGATAACCCTGTGCTACAAGTCTAGCTTTGTTTCTTATAACATTTCCTAACTCATCAGTTTTGTTCCTATAGACCCATTTGGTTCCTATAATGGTTTTACCTCTAGGCCTAGGAACAAGTTCCCAAACATTCAAGTAGCTGAATTGAGTAAGTTCTTCTTGCATAGCAAGATTCCATTTCTCATCATTTAAGGCATCTCTAAGATTTTTAGGCTCGACTTTGGACACAAAAGCATATTGGCCGGGAGTATATTTACCTCGGGTTTTTCGGCTGTCATTTATGCTCCCAATAACTTGGGCTTCTGGATGTCTCTTCTGAATATGTGGAGGAGCTTGTGGCTTGATTGCTTCAATGTTTGTGCCACTAGATTCAGAAGCTTTACCATGTTCTGTTTCTTCAATGACAGTTTCTACACTGCCAGCACCATTTTCATCGTTCCTAGTAGTATCTTCAGTCTTAGAACTGTTATTTGGGGCTAAATTGCTGACATCATGGAGTAAGTCAGTAAGATCTACCAGCACATTTCCTGTTCTTAAGCCATCAGATAAAGGATTAGTCTCATCAAACTTAACATGAACAGATTCCTCAACCCTTTTGGTTCGTTTATTGTAAATTCTATATGCCTGTCCTTTTAAGGAATAACCCAAAAAGATGGACTCATCAGATTTGGCATCGAATTTACCAAGATTGTCCTTTGTGTTTAGTGAGAAACACTGACAGCCAAAAGGGTGAAAATATGATATATTAGGTTTCTTACCCTTCAGAATTTCATAAGCAGTTTTGTTTGAGGCTTTTCGAATCAGAACTCTGTTGGTAACATAACAAGCTGTGCTAACTGCTTCAGCCCAGAAAAACTTAGGAAGATCATAGTCCAAAAGCATCATTCTAGCCGTTTCTATGAGGATTCTATTTCTCCTCTCAACTACCCCATTTTGTTGTGGGGTACGAGGAGCTGAAAAAGTATGGCTTATGCCATTTTCCTCACAGAATTCAGCAAACTCATCTGATATGAACTCCCCTCCATTGTCACTCCTAACAGTCTTAACAGTATTGTTTAATTTAACAAACATTTTGAACTTTGAAAAGGTTTCATCTTTTTGAGCAAGAAAATAGACCCAAGTAAATCGTGAGTAGTCATCAACATTCACAAAAGCGTAATTTTTACCACCAAGACTAGTCACATTACAAGGTCCGAATAGATCCATGTGGATCAACTCAAACGGATGATGAGAAGTAGTATCCATTTTTGGTTTAAAGGGCTTTCTTGCATGCTTTCCAGCAGCACAAGCCTTGCAGAAAAAATCATTTCTGTCTTTTAACCTGGGGATACCACGAACAGCATCCGATTTTGAGAGACTCGCCAGTTTTTGAAGATTAACATGGCCGAGTTTCTTATGCCATAGCATTTCTAGATAGCAGGTCAGAGATACTAGGCATTTTTCATTAAACGCACTTAAATTCTGGAAATCTATCACATACATATTATTAGTATGATTTCCAACGAACATAATTTGGTCATCTTTTAGCCTTTTCACTAAACAGTGTGAGGCTTCAAAGGTAACTCTGTTTCCACTACTACATAGTTGACTGATTGAAAGTAAATTATGCTTTAACCCATCAACTAGAAGCACATTCTTGACAGAAGGGAAAGGAGCCTTTCCAATAGTTCCTCTGCCAACTATGATGCCACAGTTGTCATCACCAAAGTATACTTTTCCTTCTGTTTTGAACACAAGATTTGAGAATAGAGATACATTACCCGTCATATGATGGGAACAGCCACTGTCAAGAAACCATTCATGCCGAACTTCGTCGAAGTTCTTTGTAAGACTTTCATTTTGATGAGAGCTTTCTGAATCTTCTTCCATTCTGGCCATGTAAGCAATTTCATGGTTGTTTTCATCCTCCGAGTCACTTCCATAATCGCTCCATGATGCCTTCATGGCTTTCTCTCTTGCTCTCATGGTTTGCGGGCAGTGAGCTCTAATATGACCTATCTTCCCACATTTGTAACACGCTTGTGGATCCTTTTCATTTGCTTCTGAGTCCTTTTCATGTGTAACAAATCTTTCTGAAGGAGCATTTCTAACACGATTAGTTCTGTTAGTATCATAAAATCTATCATTATAACGAGAATTCTGCTCCTGATGACGAATAGGATCGTTTGAAGACCTGTAATTCTGATCTCTACTAGGCATTCCTAGACGATTTCGACTTTCTTGATGATTTCGCTTGTGGTCATTTTTATATTTCAGCATACGCTGATATTTTTTTGTGACCAAAGCAAACTCTTTCTCGAATTCAACATCAACCTCTCCATCAGATTCATACTCGTAAGCACGCGATTTAAAAGCCAATTTCTGCATTCTTCTATCACATTCAGATTCATATTCATTGAATCGAGAATGAAATGCTAAATTTTTCTTACGACGATCTTCATCCTTTCCAACCTGTCTGATAACATGCTCATGACTCATCAGAGATCCAATCAGTTCATCTACTGCTAAAGTGTTTAAGTTCTTAGCTTCTTCTATAGCCGTTCTTTTAGGTAACCATTCTCTAGGTAAGGATCGCAAGATTTTCCTGACCAACTCCTTAGATGTGAAAATCTTTCCTAAACCTTTCAGTTTATTTGTAAGACCAGTAAACCTAGAATACATATCATGGATACTCTCACCTGGGATCATGTCGAAAACTTCATACCCGTGGAGAAGTAAATCAATTTTGGTCTCTTTGATGTTCGAGGTTCCTTCGTACGTAGCTTCTAGCGTAGCCCAGATCTCCCTTGCGGTTTCGCACTGCTCAACCTTGTCAATTTCTTCTGGCGACATAGCAGTCTGTAAAATGTGCATGGCTCTGCAGTTTAGCTGAGCGCTTTTCTTTTGAGCATCCGTCCAATCGTTTTGTCTTTCCATATCCATCTCTCCTGGTCCATCACGAATGATTTCCCATAAATCAGCGTCGATTCCCCACATGAAGGTCTTCATTCGTCTTTTCCAGGCATTGTAATTTGCCCCGGTGAACCAAGGAGGATTATTGTGGGAGGTAGGACCAAACGTGGACTGAGAATTTGTTGCCATGGCTCGATTTACCCTTGGTAGTGATAAACCTCCTCAAGGGCAGGCTCTGATACCAATTGTAAATTCAATTTAGGCGGAAGATTAGGGTTCGAACAAAGGGAGAATGGAGAAGAGGAACACAGACACGATGACTCAGTAAGGAGAACAAAGCTGTCAAACAGACTTTGTTTACAGGCTTTCAGTTCCCGAGTGGGCTTAAGACCAAGTAGGCCCAAGTAACTAAGGCACAAACCTTAAGACAAGGAATCGAAGCTAGAAGCCCAAAGACAGTAGTCTTCTACTTTCTTAGCAGAAAGACAGAGCAATTCCAGCACAGGTTACACAATCAAAACAGAGCAGTAAAGTAAACAGGAGAAGGAGATTTGCAGAGCGAAGGGACAC